CACACACACACACACACACACCCACTCACACACACGCACTCATACACACACACTCACAAACACAAACACATGGGGGTTACCCCCACAAGGTAGGCTATTTACACATGATTGATACCACACACACATACTCACAGAACATGCCCTCTACTCTTACTCGGACCTCCCTAAAATCCAATTCACATCCTCGTGGAAAGAAGAACAAAAAATAGCACAGAAGACTCCAGATGCGGTACTCAAGAGATCTTTAGAGATCCCTAGATCTAGATCTAGATCATCTAGACTATACCTAAAGCCGGATCCTTGAAAAATACACAGTAGGGCCTAGGCCTGCAGGCGGAAAAGGCTAAAAACTTATTAGGCCCAAGTGGGCAGTGTGGTGATAACAGAAGGAGTGACAAGAAAGGAAAATCACGCGCGCGCGTACACACCACACACACAAACACACATCACAGACAAAGGCCTAGAAGTAGAAGACAATCTCTCCCACTCTCCTCATTTCCATGCCCGACCATCCTCCTATTCTCACTGAACTATGCACGCACGCACGCACGCACGCACGCATGTTCTGTCTGTGTCCTGTGTTGGCTCTGCTTGCTGTGTCGATTCTGTGTTCCTTCCTCGAGGCATCATCAGCCAGCACCGTCATAGCTAGGGCTGGGCAATGAGTCGCTTTGACAAAATCCGGATAATATGATAGTGCACCTCTTCGGCAAATACTAAATGTGTTATGAACCGCTTCGGCAAATGAGTTAGAACTACTTCGACAAACGGGTTGAAACCACTCCAACAAATGGGTGCACCCAATTCGACAAACGGGTTAGGAAAGAGAGTTTAAGAAGAGTCTGAATTCGGATAATGTTTCATTGAGGATTATTCGATTATCCGGATAGATTTTCAAGACTTTGCCCACCACTTCGCTCGCGTCTCTCGCCGCCCCGTGAGTGGCGATTGGCGCAGGGGAAGATGATTGGCCTTGCTTCCAGTTCTGGGCTGAAGTGCAGAGCGGCTCTCGCGGTTATCGGCTGGCTATTATAAATACTATACGTTCTCTGGTCTAGCCCACTGCTCGCTGCTCGAGACCAAACTCGAGTATGTGTGTGTGTGTGTGTGTGTGTGTGTGT